GAGAAAACAAGCCACCAGGTCTAGGACTTGAACCACGGTCAGCCATGTGGGAGTCCAGTGCCGTTAACTACCACACTACCTGCTGACCCTGTCATGATACATTTTTTGCATTGAAAAAATATGTCATGACCTTTTCCAATCACCCAATACCTTTGGTTGTTTAGCCCTGTCAGTAACCTGACATGGTAGTAGTATTTTATTTTCAAAAAATAATTATTTAATTTTATGTATGATTATTATTTTAAAATTTGTGATAGGGCACATATGCTTACCAGAGAGAGAAAGGAAAAGAGGGAAAGCAAGCCACCAAGTCTGGGACTCAAACTCGGGAGTCCAACGCCCAACCCCCATGCTACCTACTGGCTCCAATTGTTTAGTCTTTAATCATTGAACTTAGAATAATGGTGAGCAGGTGGCATGTTCATTAAGGTGCTTGGATTCCATATGGCTGACTATGGGGTTTGAGTCTCAGACCCAGAGGTTTGAAAATATGCAAGCCACATGTGTGTGCATGTCCAAAATCCCGAGGAGGGAGAATTGGAAAAGGGATTTCTGCATGGCGTATCCTCTGGGGGTGCTTTCTCACTGCATCTCTCCAGCGAGCGTACAAGTCTAATGACAATTTTTTTTTTGAGAGAGAGATTTTTGATACAGGGCCTGTGCGCTCACCAGAGAGACATAGAGACAGAGACAGAAAGCATTAAATCACGCCCTAGGGGGAATGGCCATGCCGCAGTCTTTTGTCCTCCCGCCTCTTCGGGGTCTTAGGGACTCATGCACATGTGCCCGGTATGAGTTTCAAGTCACCAGGTCCAGAACTTGAACCACAGTCGACTACGTGGTAGTCCAGCAATGCAATCATTACACCATCTGCTGGTCCTGACCGTTTTTTAATGTAAAAAGATAATAAAATGAGCCAGTAGGTGGCATAGTGGTTAAAACACGACCCCCACTTGGCTAACTGTGGTTGGAGTCCTAGACCTGGAGGCTTGAAACTCAGACCAGGCGTGTGTACAGACATGCCCAAAATCCCAAGAAGAGAACAGAGGGACTGTGGCATGGCTATCCCTCCTGATTACTCACTTTCTGTCTCTCCAGCGAGCAATCACATCCTATAGCAAATATCTCTCTTAAAATAAAAACAGGGACTAGCAGATGACATAATGGTTACATCTCTGGACCCCCATTAGACCACTGTGGTTTTAGCCCTGGACAGACCCAGCGGCTTAAAACTCACGCCAGGCATGTATGTGTGTGTGCCCAAGATCCCAGGAGGAGAATGGATTGTGGCATGGCTGTCCCCCCTCGGGGGTGATTTCTTGCTTTCTGTCTGCCTGTCTGTCTCTCCAGCGAGCACACGTACCCTATAGCAAAAATCTCTAAATAATTCATGAATAAAATAAATAAATAATGATTCTCTTTGTAACCATTACTTCAACAATCGCTTCAACAATTACTACTCACACCCAGTCTTAGTCTCTTCCTTACCTCACCCTGGCTTTTTAATCCGACTTTGGACAAG